GGGAGGGAGGGAGGGAGGGAGGAATGCAATAGATGCAAAACAATTTAACAGTACAAGAGAGCGAAAAAGGAAGGAAGGAAGAAACGAGGGAGGGAGGGAGGGAAGGAGAAAGGTAGAAGAATCGAAGATGAAATATTTGAAAACAATACACAAAAATATGTATTTCTTTTAGAAAAGCATCCTCTTTTCCTTATCACTTTGTTCTTCAGCTTTCTGTTGGTGACTGGCTGTATTTCGTGAACATGGGTGATTACAATCAAGCCATGTGCAATGGATTCAACGGCTTTCCCATTAAACGATATACCTACTACTATGTCACACCCAAGACTTGGTGAGTATACGTTTATACAAGCTGCCGCTATCATACTGCCTGACTTGGTTTCGGGGAGTCAGGAACACGTGGTGGTAAAATACTCGCTGCTCACCTTTGAGATTCGGGGTTCGAATCCCAGTTGCTGCATGCGAGCTGAGTTAGTTGTTTTTTTTTCTGACTGCAAGGGTTTTTCCGGCCCTCTGGTTTTTCCTCCCTCCTCTTAAATCAACCATAATTAATTCAAGCAGGTTAGAGCTGTGCTCCGGGGTCATACATGGACTATATAGCACCTGCAAGAGGCGCCTTCACATGCTTTCAGTTCGACTCCGTTGAGCTGACCCACTGCCATCCTTGCGGTGGTAATAAGCGTTGACAATTTTCTCCCCCTAAGTACAAAAGTACATTCTTTTGTCTGCACATTTAGAAATAGGAAATGATCAACTAACCTTTTTGCTTTTTGAAAAAGCATTTCACTGAAAGTCTTAGGGCTTCCTGTATATAGGCTATTTCGTTACGAGTGACTATAATTGTCTCATAAACAAGCTGTTTTAAAAAAATCATTCACTGAAAACTGAAAATATTTTTTCTTTCTTTCTTTCTTTTTCCAGGGATAAGATCAAACCGGACTTGGAAGAATTCGATTTTGATATTTTGGAGTTTTAGTTGCACTTCACATTATGGTAGGAATAGAATTCTTAGTAAGTCTTGTTACACTATACATTTAAGTAATTTTGGGCATAACTAATTTTGACCCACTATTGGCGTCAAATCGTGGTAAATTTTCACTAGAAAAACACGGGAAAAGTTTAACACGGCTGTAAATCAATCAGAAAGCGAGAAAATTTACATTTGTGTTGAGTGTTATTTGTGCTAATGCAGTTTGATGCTTATTTAAATATGTTACAATCCTTGAATATGATTGGGTGAACATAAGTGTGCAATAAACCAATTTTTCCAATCAGAAGCAAGCAGTCCTCGATCTGCAGTTATTTTGGGTAAGACGACCAACACACCAAAAAAACGTCTTTTTTTTAATATAATCTTTATTTCTATCCGAAAACCACTAAGTACTGCGAGATAAATGCAAGTCATTTCAAGATATTCAAGAGTAAAATACTTTTTCTTTAGTTAAGAAATGAGTAAATTGAGAAAGTTACAAATTGTGTACATTTAGTTTGTTGAGGGAAAGTTCGTTTGATATGCCGGGGGGGATGAAAGTATGTTGAACGTGGGGGAGGGGGTAGGGGTTACCAAACTTTGTTATCCATACGTGGGGGGCTCTCAATTGAACATTTTCATGGGTTGTTTGGGGGAACTTCGGAAATTAAGTCCCAAGGGGGGGGGG